ACACACACACACACACACATCGCAAATGCTCCAGGATAATCCCAGTAAACCAAACTGAGAGCTGAAAACAGCGCAACAGAGCGGGGATAAGAGACCGGGACAAATCAGAGCAGAGGGATGGAAGTTGTGGACAGATTTCAGTGTAAATGGGACAGAGTTGATGGGATGCTGGTTAGATTTGACTAGAAGCAGATACATAATTTTTAGAAGAGTTTAGGGGTTGAAAGGTGAAGTTAAAATCCATCTTAAAACACAGTTCTTCATTTTGGAAAGAACATCTAATTCATATGTTTATCATGAATAATATATAAGAATGTTATCAACCAATTCCCAAGCAACCATCACAAACAACTGGAGTGGCTGACTTCAGTTTAGGATGGATTTTCTCTTCAAACAGTAGTGCGGCTGTGTGGCAGTGATGCTTACAGATTTGCGGATGTTGACGCGAGGTTTGGGGACAGGTTTGCTGGGCTTGCTGTCAAAGCTCTCCGGCAGTGTGGACGATCCGTGGCCGCTCTTCCTGGCCTGCAGGGCCAGCTGGTAGGCCACCTCGAAGGCCTGGCCGAGTGTCAGGATGATCTCATACGCCAAGTTCTGACAAGAGGGTAAAAGGCAAACAGGCATGAGAATAGAATGTGATATTATTCGCACAATGATTATATTGCTTATAAAACACTCTGATACAGTGTCGGTACTGACCACATCAAAAGCAGTGAAGACATGGCAGTAGTGGTGACTGGACTTGAGGTCTTTGGTGATGTAGGCAAATGTAGACAGATCCTCTGGATCCTGAGCCGCACACGAGATGTTACGAATCTCATGTTCTGCTATGATGTTCTGCAGAGAGAGAAAGAGAAAGGGGGAAAAAAAGATAAAGAGGTGCAGAGAGAGATTGTTGATTATCTCCAGTGAGCCACTTCATGGAAAAACAAATCTGATTTATTATTCATCTCATTTCACACATCCCAAAACCATAATGACTGTAGCACAATTTTGGTTTGAGAGTTTTCTGGAGTCGCTGAGTTGGAATTTGTCTTCTGGTAATGTCACTAGAGAACAGTCAGACTTTGTGTTGTGTTAATTAAAGCACATCTTGGTGCTGTGAATTATAGAACATCAAAGCCCCAAAAGAAAGTTTAAGTGAAGGCCAACGTTGGAAAAACATAATTCTTTTGTCATACAGAACAGTATCATCTTATCTTTGATGTTATAAAAAGATATCGGCCCATTGTTTGTTTTTGTTAGGTCAATCCACTCCCTCATTGTTTGTTTGTGCACTGGGACTGCAGGTAAGCTAAGAAGATTTACTACTTTCACAAAATGTCCTGGAGAGGTAAATCCAGGTAAAGCCACTGGCCCTGTTTGATTTCCCTTTTTTGTGTGCCATATCCCTTTAATTGATGGCCATCATTATTATTTCTCCCCTTGTATCATTCTCTCTTTGGTACATAACTTACAATGTGATCTGAGGACTTGGAGGAAACTGAGATGTACATTTTGCAGTTGGCTGGTAAATATCAGGATCCACACTGAGTCGTGTCTCTGAGGCTAACTTCAGAATGAGTTATGATTGCCTGATGGCCATGTTAGAGGCTGTACCAGCTCATTTTATCTCATATCTGTGAGAAGAGTAGAGAAAAAGTATGTCTGACTAACATTAAACTGTTTGGGCAAAGACAGACACAACAGATAGTGGTGTCTAATGTCACCAGCTGGCCACCACGTCATCATTTTATGTATTACTTAAGTCTGCAGTGCTGCCTGAGGAAGAGCACTAGATTCAAAATGTTCTGTTCTGTTCTGTTCTAAGAACGCTCATCTTCTGCTGTGTGTGTGCTTTTATATTAAATAAGTACTTTTTTTGTAAGCAAGCAGCTTATAATTATCTTGAAATTGTTTCTCACTGTGCCACGTTTTTAACCACCTGAGGTAGATTGTCTTACACTTGTGCACGGAAATCACTACCTCATAGAAATAATTGACTTCTCTGTATCTAAACTGTCTTCACTTAATGTGGCACAGAGACAGAAACTCATTACACATTCACACATAAAAACACTTTTCTCTGTCTAAGTTGGACACATCCTAACTGGGCAGTCTTCACTCAAATGTCTCTCTGGATGGAAAAGCAAAGCAGCGAAGATAAACTACTTAAAATTACTTTTTTAAAACATTCCATTAATGATTTAATGAACTGAGTAGGGTTGTTATTGATTTTTCTTAACATTCAGCTCATCTGTTCCATACCAATTATTGCCTGTTTGTGTTTTGCCCTCTTATTGATTTTTACACCATATAGTTTGAAATGAGTCAGGCTGCAGCCAAAGCAGACCTCAGCGCTGCTATGCTTGCAATTTCTGACACCTGTTCAAAAGCCTGACCTTTCATGTGTTATTTACAGTGGGCGTCACAGGAAGCGAGCTGTGAGTGTTACCTTATTTGTGGCGTCTATGAACTTCACTCCTTTGTAGGACACGGAGAGTACGATAGTCGGCACCTTCTTCATCTGTTCTGTCGACTTCTTGGAGGGCACAAAAACAAAAGGGAGACAAAAAAAGAGGAGAGAGGCAGCAATGATTTTTAAGGCATGGCATACATAAAGTCGAACCAGTTGCAGTATTGAACTTCTAACACTCCACAGTTGAGAACTGTAATTAATCCCAGATTAATGAATTCCGGTTGATGGAGATCTCCACTGAATTTAATTACTTTTAGCTTAATACAAGTCTCAAATCCATGTCTGCTAAGTTATGAAAAACAATGAACATAAATAAAGAAAGCATGAATTAAATGAGCTAATCGATCAGCTGTTTGATTACTCCCTCCTTGATTACCAAAGTCAATTCAAATCATCTCCAAAGGTCAAGGGTTGTCAGGCGCCTCATGAAGAACAACTGCTTCCAAATTACATTTCTAAACCCAATCGACTGCAGCGCCGCGTCCAATAAGTCTATTAGCTTATACACTCCTACTATACATCTCTCCTCATTCTTTTAATTACATATTGCCACTTTAACGTGTGTTTCCATTACCTATATTTAAACTCATTATACAGTGAGGTGCTGTGGAGAACCGTGTGATTTACAGAGATGTCAGCATCACCCTCCAAGCTGTCATTCTACCTGCCAAAAGCTTTAATATATTCAAATAAATCGATGTGAGATGAGTCCCTTTCCTGCTTTCTCTTTATCGCTTCTTTCATCGCTTGTCTCTCAGTATCTATATTTCTATCACGCTCCGTCCTTCCTTTCTCCCCATTGTCGATTCTACTCGCTGCTATCCTTCTGATATCTTTTTCTTTTCTTTGTTCTGTTTCTTTCCCCCCTCCTCGCAGCGTGTTGCTGCTGCGGTTTGGCCTTGTCAGGATCAGGTAGTGCTGGAAAGCTGACAAAGGCAGCGCTGCCTGGCTTCACTTGCAGATACCCAGCTAGATGCTGTGAAGTTGGGATTTAAACATCCACAGTGAAAGGATGGAGGGACAGATGAAAGAATAGATGCTGGGAACAGGGGCACGCGGGTAAACAGGGAAGGTACGCTCACGCGGTAATAAATGCCAGATTCATACAATGTGCATCTCATTGCACTTAATTACAGCCTTGGCGTGCAGCAAAGGTG